CACACCATTTTCAACTGCCTTGTGCATTTATATGATTGTTGTATAAATTTTGTGATTGTTTATTGAAATATTTTCTAGTTACCTCACAGTTTCTTCTTTTTGCGGTCTGTTCTGTGACTGTGACCATCACTTTTGAGCCACATTCCGTGGTAGGTATAACACCACCAAGCTCAGCCTCCAAAGCAGCCCTTTCCTCCAGGGGAACTGATCTCTGAATCGTCTGGAGATCAGTTGTAATTTGGGGGGGGGATCTCCAGTCCCCACCTGGAAGTTGGCCACCCTAGGACCCAGCAGTTCTGCTGCTAACCTCTCAATTAGGCCCGCACAGCTGCAGTTCTGATTGGCTGACCTACAGCGGCTTCTCATCAAGGTGGAGCGGGAGAGGCTAGCTCTGACTGGCCGGGCCAGAGCGGGTGGGAACAGTGCTGGGATCCCCTGATTGGCCGCCCGTGCTAGGGGAGGCCCGCCTACCTTCTCGGGGAAGTACTCGTTGGTGGCGGGCAGGATGTGGGCGATGAAGGGGCTGTCCTTGATGTCCTCGTCGTCGCAGATGACGTGGACGGCGTACTCGCCCGGCTCCGTGGGCCAGTAGCGGACGTCGCAAGAGCCGTCGCCCTTATCGTCGCACTCGATCTTGGCCTGGGAGGGGCCCTCGATGGAGAAACCTGCGGGGCGAGGGAGAGAAGAGAGACAAGCGGCGGAGTCAGAGAGCAGACCTCTGCCTCCAAATCTCCAGGAATTCTGTCATGCCTGCCCTTGACTCAGCCCCAGAGCCAGCTCCTGACAGCCTAAGAGGGGAGGATTCCTTGATGTCCTCGTCGTCGCAGATGACGTGGACGGCGTACTCGCCCGGCTCCGTGGGCCAGTAGCGGACGTCGCAAGAGCCGTCGCCCTTGTCGTCGCACTCGATCTTGGCCTGGGAGGGGCCCTCGATGGAGAAGCCTGCGGGGGCGGGGGAGAGAAGAGAGACAAGTGGCGGAGTCAGAGAGCAGACCTCCACCTCCAAATCTCCAAGAATTCTGTCATGCCTGCCCTTGACTCAGCCCCAGAGCCAGCTCCTGACAGCCTAAGAGGGGAGGATTTAGTGCCTTCAAGAGCTGAAGAAGCATCAGGATCTGCACCTACTGTAAGTACTGATGAGGATACACAGCAATCTGAGTCAACTACAGGACGGTTTGCACCTGGGATTGAGCAGGCCATAAGCAGCTCACCACCTGCATCTCCCGCACCTGTAAGTAGGCTTAGGGATCAGAGACGTCAGCTCCTGACTTCCAGCTTTGAACCTGACCACGCCCTCGGCTTTGCTCCCTGTACTCTGACCTCTGGTAACCTCTGGTTACCTCTGGTAATGTTTGACTACGTTTGACTACGGCTTTGTCTGGTGTTTTGGGACTTGTCTAATGCTCTGCTGACTGCTCTCCCGGCTGACCTTTGGACTTGTATTGTGACTCCCCCTGTCTGTCTGCCTGCCCCCCTGGCTCTACCGTGACAAATTCTCCAACCTGGAGCTGGCAACCTGACCCCACTTTCCCGGCCCGGCCCGAGCAGGCCCACCTGAGAACAGGACTCACCCAGTGTGCCCACTTCCGTGCCGATCGCCTCCACGATAAAGTCCGCGGACTTTCCCACCATACCGGTCTCCAAGCCGGGTCCCCAGGCCCTGACCTTCTGGAGGCCAGCCTCCGGCCCCACTTGCACCTCGAAGGGGCTGGAAGAGAGGAGGGAGACGGCCGAGGACGGCGTGAGGATTTAGTGGCATGCATTCGTTTGGGTCACGCGTCGTCTGCCTTCCTCTCCGAGACTGAAGGCACGTGAGACATAGCGGAGGTCAGGTACAGTCAACAGGTGGGGACATCCAATGAACAATACAGAAGCGATTGGATTCATACCCCCTGCCTTCGCTACCCGAAGGAGTCTCAGAGCAGCTGACAGTCTCCTTTTCCTTCCCCTCCCCACAACCAGGGGTCATTTCCTACGCGAGCGTACAGGAGCGGAGCTCCGGCAGTAAGGAGCCCAGGGGGTGGGCACATGCAGCAAGCCCCGCCCCCTGCTCCCAGCGGCCCTCAGTTGGGCCACGAGGAGCAAGAAGCAGCCAGGTAAGTTGCAGAGCCCTCCCCCCCACCTTCAGGTACAAGCTCTCCCTCCTCTGTGAGGGCAGATCCGTGCGTCCCCCCCCCCCATAGCTAGCAATCCAAAACAGTCCAGTGGCACCTTTAAGACCAAGTTTTATTCAGGTACCAGCTCTCCCTCCTCTGCGAGGACAGCTCTGCACGTTCCCCCCCCCCAATAGCTAGCAATCCAAAACAGTCCAGTGGAGCCTGAGCAGTGGGTGTTGCCTTCTGACACACTTCTGGTGATGTCAGGGGGTGTGGCATAGGCAAATGAGTTATGCTAATGAGTTATGCTAATGAGCTCCTGCACCGCTTCTTCTACCAAAGACCCCTGCCCACAACGGACACCCTGTGAGGCAGGCGGGGCTGAGAGAGCTCTCTCGAGGACTGCCCTTGAGAGGACAGCTCTGAAAGAACTCGTGACTGACCCAAGGTCACACCAGCAGCTGCATGTGGAGGAACAATACAGCAGAAGAGTGAACAATACAGCAGAATTGCACCCAACACACAGCTCTGCGCTTACCTCCTCGGGATAGCGTAGCCCCCCCATGTGATGGACACCACGTACTTCCCGGCCACGACGGGGTAATAGTCACACTCGTACACCCCATCGCCAACATCCCGAACCTTCACTGGCTCCTCGGTGCCTTCTGGGAGAAAGAAGATGGAGAAGCAGGAAGGGTGAGCAAAACACACGTCCGTTCACAGAGGCCCACTGGCTGTTGGATTAGGGTTGCCAGCTCCGAGTTGGGAAATACCTGGAGATTTGGGGTAATGGCTCCAGTCCTGAGCTAAGACAAAAATGTGTGAGCCAGAGGCTAAAAAACTGTGAGCCGGCTCGCACTAACTCAGCTTAGAGGGGACACTGGGCTCCACCCCTCCCCCAAATGTCCAGGACTTTCTCAAGCTGGAGTTGGCGACCGTAGCAAAAACTCCCTCCTTATCATCTTGACTCAGAGTTTGGAAATCACAAACGGCTCCTGCTCGTGTGCAATGCCTAGCCAATGTGTGACACAACACAGGTCATGGGGAGGTGTCGCGCGTGAGCATCAGACTGGGTCAGGGTTTCCAGCTGCTGCTACGCCTTAAAAGGTTAAAAAAAAAGGTAAAGGTTCCCTTGCTCGAAAGCCAGTTGAATCCGACTCTAGGGTTGCGGAGCTCATCCCCGTTTCCAAGCCGAAGAGCCAGCGCTGTCCGAAGACGTTTCCGCGGTCATGCGGCCGGCATGACTAGACGCCGAGGCGCACAGAACGCTGTGACCTTCCCACCGAAGCGGGACCTATTCATCTACTTGCAATTTCTCGCTTTCGAACTGCTAGGTTGGCAGGAGCCGGGGCCAGAGACGGGAGCTCACTCTGTCACACAGGCATACCAGCCTTCCGGTCTGCAGCTCAGGATCTTAACCTCTGAGCCACCGCGGCCCTTTCTACGCCTTAGGACCCTCTTAAGGGGTTCAGAGCCTCCCAGCGCTTGATTCAGTGGTTCCAGAGAAGACTCCCCGCCACCAGGGGGCTCTGTTGCCTTTTCCTGCCCACTCAGAGCAACTTCCTTGTTTGCAAGGGTGAGCAAGCGAGGAAAGAATAAACAGCTGGTCGGGCGGCTCATTGGGTTGCCAGCCTCCTGGTGGAGCCTGGAGGTCTCCAAGAATGACAGCGACACACAAAAGCTCCTCCCCTGCCGCAAATTCCAGTAGTCTTTACAGTGTTCCTGGACTCTTAACTCTTTTCTACTTTTCTCACACTTTTTTGCTTTTCTACTGAAAGATGTCAGTTCTTCTGTGATACTCTGACCTACTGAGGTCCCTCCCCTCCCCAAACCCCGCCTTCCCCAGGCTCCACCCCCCCAAATCTCCAGGAATTTCCTGACCCGGAGTTGCAACCAGCGTTCCCTCTAAGCTGAGTCAGTGTGAGCCCGCTCACCGTTTTTTAGCCTCCGGCTCACACCTTTTTGTCTCGGCTCAGGGAGGCTGTGACTCCAGAACAAACCGATTTGTGCAGCAGCCCACTCGCTCGCTCACAACTTTAACGCCAGTAGCTCACCAAGTAGAATTCTTGCTCACGAGACTCCGCGGCTTAGAGGGAGTGTTGTTTGCAACCCGGACCCAGGCACTCCCTGACCCCTGCTGTGCCGTTGGAGGCAGAATCATAGAATAGAACCATAGAGTTGGAAGGGGCCATACAGGCCATCCAGTCCAACCCCCTGCCCAATGCAGGACCAGCCTAAAGCAAGTGACAAATATTCGTCCAGCCTCTTCTTGAGAGCTGTCAGTGAAGGGGCGTTGACCACCTCCCTAGGCAGCTGATTCCACCTTTGAACCACCCTGACCATGAAAAAGTTTCTCCTAATATCCAGCCGATACCTTCCTGCCTGTAATTTAATCCCGTTGCTTCGGGTCCTCTCCTCTGCTGCCAACTGGAACGGCTCCTTGCCCTCCTCCCAATGACAGCCTTTCAGATATTTAAAGAGAGCCATCCTGTCCCCCCTTCAGTCTCCTCTTCTCCAAACTAAACATTCCCAGGGCCCTCAGCCTTTCCTCGTAGGGCTCGGTCTCCAGACCCCTGATCCTCCCCGTCGCTCTCTTCTGCACCCTCTCGGTTTTGTCCACATCCTTTTTGAAGTGAGGCCTCCAGAACTGCACACAGGACTCCAGGTGCGGCCTGACCAAGGCAGTATATAGAGGGGCTATGACCTCCTGCGATTTCGATTCTATGGCCCTTTTAATACAACCCAAGACTCAGGAGTCATTTCCTGCATGAGCGCACAGGAGCGGAGCTCCAGCAATAAAGAGCCCAGAAGGCGGGCACACGCAACAAGCCCCACCCCCTGTTCCCAGCAGCCCTCAGTCAGAGCAAGAAGTAGCCAGGTAAGTTGCAGAGCACCCCCCCCCGGCCCCCCGGCCCAAAACAGTCCAGTGGTATCTTTAAGACCAAGTTTT